GGTGTGCGTACAGGGGGTGGCCCTGTCCTACAAGGACGTGATCATGGAGGAATGGGATACGTTCAAACAACACCATGGTAAACAATATTTGCCTCACGAGGAGAACTTCCGGCTCAAAGTATTCATGGAGAACAAGCATAAGATCGCCAAACATAACAATCGGGCCGCCAATGGCCTCAAGGGCTACACACTGGCCATGAATCAGTTTGGAGACCTACTGTCCCACGAGTTTGTGTCGCTAATGAACGGCTTCAAGAGATCCTATAAACAGGACTCTGAGAACGGATCCGCTTATCTGTCGCCACATAACGTGGTTATACCGCCGGCAGTCGATTGGCGTACAAAGGGTTACGTAACCGAAGTTAAGAATCAGGGTATGTTTCTAGTTAATTGATTATGGCCATTCTTGAGATTATTAATTAACTTGTTTATTATCACCCTTTATAACTTAGGTCAGTGCGGGAGTTGTTGGGCCTTCTCTACCGTAAGTCGTGTTTAATTAAATTTTATGACAATTTATTAATTGTTAAACCATTTGTTTTAATGCCTATATTTATTGTTCCCACTGTTCCTAATAGACTGGCGCTCTGGAGGGTCAACACTACCGCAAACTCGGTGTCATGACATCGCTGTCGGAGCAGAATCTGGTCGACTGTTCCAAGAACTACGGCAACGACGGGTGCGAAGGGGGTCTAATGGACAACGCTTTCACATACATTCGGGCCAATCACGGCATCGACACCGAGACCAGCTATCCCTACGAGGCAAAGGTATGGCGCCATCACATATAATACCACTTCCCACCCCTACCCGTCCAAACACACACCCATTGCAACAACTTATAGCTAATGTCTTAATCTTAATCATGTCTTGTAATCACTTCCAGGACAAGAAGTGCCGCTTCAAACCGCGTGACATCGGCGCCACCGACACCGGCTTTGTCGACATACCGGCGGGCAATGAGGAGAAACTGAAGGAAGCGGTGGCCACCGTCGGCCCCGTATCGGTCGCCATCGACGCCTCGCACGAGTCGTTCCAGTTCTACAGCACCGGTGTCTACGACGAGGAGGAGTGCTCGCCGGAACAGCTCGACCACGGAGTGCTGGTCGTCGGCTACGGCACCACTCCGGACACCAAAGAGGACTATTGGATTGTGAAGAACTCGTGGGGCGCCCAATGGGGTGACGCCGGCTATATCAAGATGTCCCGTAATAAGAAAAACCAATGTGGTATCGCTTCGTCCGCCTCCTATCCATTGGTTTAGTAGTGGTTTAGTTTAGTAGTA